ATTTCCGCATTCTGGAGTTGAAAACGAAGATTTTGCCATAATTAAGGGGGCGATAAGTGAAGCCATAGTGGGAGCCCGTTTTGTGAAGGAGACGAAGGAAATTCGAGTTGGATTCACTTTTTGGCTGACTCTCGGACTGACTCGCTGATTTTCGGGCTTGCTGGACAAAAATGTAATTACGAAGAGAGATGTTTTCCGGCGGGGAGCGGCAAATATGCTCCCCGGCCGCGTTTTGGGTTAAGAGGCGACTCTCTTACGCACTCACTTTTTGACGCACTCACTCTTGGACTCGCTGATTTTCGGGCCGGCTGGACTAGTGGACGTTGTTCTTGAAAACTGGCTTGAAGGAAATTCGAGTTGGATTCTCTCTCTTACTGACTGGCGGGTGGAACTTACTTGGGACGTTACTCGTGAAGCTTGCTCTTGGGATGAGTAAGAACAGGTGAGCCGTAATTGCCTAGAAAAAAAAAAAAACGTTTCTGACCGGAGTCTGAAAACCCTCTTGCTTGCGGCGTGCTGGTAAAGAGGCGAAATTTGAACGAGTTACCTGCGTGTTGACATAGGACTTTCAGGACCAAGCGGATAGCCGTCCTGGGCAGCAGTGCTCCTGTTTCTGTTCTACAGTGAAAAAAATTTTTAGAACCAGTGTCAAGATGAGCCCGGCCGACATCAACGCTTGATAAGATACGAGTCTTCCACTTCAAGATGTCCCCTCAAGATAAGTTTTATTTTTTTTTTTGGTGTGTTTGAACTTTAGGCAAACTTTTCAAAAACGTCCTTAGCAGTAAAAAAAAAAAACAACGTCGAATCTAGAATTTAACTCTCAGGCCTTAAATTGTTTCCCTTTCCTTTCTTTTAAATCACCAGACAAACCTTAAGTTTTTTTTTATGAATTTAAATGAACAGACTCTCAGATGAGGTTAAGATTTTTCTTATTGTGTTGTAATTGAATAAACTGATATTTAATCTGGAACCTCTTACAGTATGTTTTCTTTATATATTTAATATGAACTTTTCCTTTATATCTTGTATATGTTTTATGTTTTCGATCCTCTCACGGCGCGGTCCCGGAATGCATTTTTTTCACAACGCAAAAATGCTGTACACGTTTCACTATACGATCACTACCTTTCACGGCAAGTAGTTTCATATTTAACATTTAACATAATATGAATTTAAGATATAACATTGGTCAAGATGTCCAGGAGCAGATAAGTCAATTTTTTTTTTTTTTTTTGTGTGTGTTTGAATTCTCACGGTACTCTATATAACATATGCTGTAGAGACTGATTGCTCTATTTCTAAGAAACAAAACATAGGAATATCCGATGTTGGTCTCAGCACAATTGTTTAACCAGTTTATGGTTTACTGTACTGTGAATGAGATGAATGCATATAATAATAATACTGCTTTGCATTAGTCTGATTGTTTTGTGAGAATAGAGCGACACTTAAGCACATTATGTAATAGGAACATTAGGAAGTTGCAGAATAGGCAGTGTTTGTAGCTTGGGTAATAGGAGCACAAGCCATCTTTAACTGAAATCAGGTTTATTTTCTATTAATGTAAGCTATATCATTTTAAAGAGAATTTATTACTGAATTCAATACAAAACACAAAATTCAATTATTTGCAATACAAAAAAAGTTAAACGATAATAGTTATCAATATACATTAGATAGTGATAATTGCAGTGCGTTATCAGTACTTAGTAGGGTACCTTTATTTTATATTACAGCTTCACATTGACATTTCATTGAAACTATAATTTTGGACATTAGTTGTATATTTTGTATAAAAATTTTATTTTTTCTGAAAGTTTAGATTAGGTTGATTGAGTGAGGTAAAGCATACAAACAAAACATAGGAATATCTGATGTTGGTCTCAGCACAATTGTTTAACCAGTTTATGGTTTACTGTACTGTGAATGAGATGAATGCATATAATAATAATACTGCTTTGCATTAGAGTCTGACTGTTTTGTGAGAATAGAGCGACACTTAAGCACATTATGTAATAGGAACATTAGGAAGTTGCAGAATAGGCAGTGTTTGTAGCTTGGGTAATAGGAACACAAGCCATCTTTGACTGAAATCAGGTTTATTTTCTATTAATGTAAGCTGATATCTTTATCAGTGTAGCTCAATGTGACTTGAATCAGATGGATGTCAAGCATTTATGTTTGTTGAATGACTTGTATCCCATTACTAGCACTTAAGTACAGAAAAAGCTGTATGTTAGTCTATGCAAGGGAACAGAGAATTGAGTTTAGAAAAGTGACAAATACATGAATGAATCCTGTTCTACAGATAATTTTAAATATTTTGAGAAAGACCATTAAGTTCTTTGACCATTCCTGCACATATCACTTCACATAAGAAAGATCAAGAGTTTTGATTTAGTCATGCTTATGTGAAGCTTAAGGAGCATTTGGACATATGAGTCTATGAAACTGCAGCAAATCTGTATGGTCTTCCATTTTTCTAGCTGTTAATCCTTAAATGTAAATATCTTAGAATTTTGTTTTTACCCTTATATGAATAGGCACAATGAAGATGATATTGATGCAGGTAAAAATTCTTGTAACATATTGAGACAATTTCATTTCCTTTCTGACATGTCAAATAATAACTGTTACATACAAACATTTCCCACCTTACAAACGAGTTATGTTCCAAAAGATTGTTCATGCCATGAATTTGTTGTAAAAGTATTAGATATATTTCACATTTCTCTTAACAGTGTTCTTCAGGTAGAGCTATTAAGTACTGTCAAATAAACAATTTTAAATATTCAAACAAATAAATGATATGTTTTAAATTTTAAATACTGTGCATTATAAATAAATAATTAATTACTATACAATATGTACCTTGAATTGTCAGCTTTGAGACATATGTGAATGGAGGTAATCTTTGAGTGAGTGTATCATAAATCTTTGTGGACTGGTTTGCTCTCTGAAGGTTCGTTGATAAGTAAAGGGCGCATTTGTAATGAGGAAACTAAATGAGAGGTGTAAGGAGCTGCCATGTTAGATAAACCAGCTACAATGATTTCTGAAGTGACTTAACTTGTTCGAAAATGTTTTGTTTTCTTTGATCATAAATAAGATGATAGCACTGTATAGCATTGTGCACAGCAGACTTTAGCAAACCTGTCAAACTATGGGTTTTCTAAAAAAAGGTGAATCCTTCTTCAAACTTGAAAATTACTACTGCCATTAATTTTGTATTAAAGTATTCAACTTTTTAACTGAGTTAGGCTCTTCCTTCTTCCCTTTCTGTTGCTGTTTGAAATGCATCAGGTGTTCATCAGTTAGTTTTGAGTCTGAACAAATTTCACCATTTAAGAACAGCTTTGTTAGTATCTGAAAAAGTTTGTGAAGTGGGAAGTGTCTGTGTTTACAAGACAGTGCCATAAAGTAAATTTACTTAATTCATTATATGACTGATTAATTTGAGGAAAAATTTTAAAAATTCTATATGGATTTGTTTTCTGCAAACATAACATTACATGTGAGAACTTACATTCAGTTTTCATGGTAATACAGTCAAAAGTCTTTAATTCGGACTTGTCAGGACTTCGGCGATTCCGATTATCAGTTTTTCCGGATTATAGATCATCAATGTAAATCTGGTAAGATAGCATGCAGAAATTATAAAATTAAAAATATGAAACCATAATTTATGAAATAAAGAGCAATTATGATCTAAAGGGTATTAAAATTTGCAAAAATAGCTTAATATTTATTTGTTTACTTTATTAAACATTTCTTTCCACGTGTGCATGCGTAAAGCATACATTACGCATAGTCTAAATTAGAAAATTGCAACCAGAAAACTGTTTGATGTGCATTTGTGATATTTATAATGATGAGGAATTTGATTTAAATCATATCAAAGACGGAGTACATCGAGATGAAATACTACATTTAGTAAAGACTTATAAGCCGAATAAAATAGAAACATCTGCCCTGAAGATGAGGATAGTGCTGACAGATCAACTTCCAGTTCATTGCGTGCCGCGATGTTCCCCCCCCCCCTGCAGAGCAGCGTGAAATTGATAAACAGATTTCAGAATGGTTAGAGAAACAAAGAAATATGCCTTTATCCAATTTTTTAAAGCAATTCCACTTTTTGTTTGATCGGACATCGAAAACATGCTTTCACTTTGTAGATCCTTTGGCAACTCCATCATCGGATTAGTAAATATATATCAGTGATTCTATTTGACATATTCGAAAGTTCAAGCTTACTTTTATAAAATTGCTCTAAGAGTCTGCAAAAAATAGTAAGTCGGATCCATTTAGAAGATTAAGGAACAACGCAATCCGCAACATTAACTGAAATAGATAAGTAGATAATTTTATCTTAGCTTATACCGTCTGCTATACATTAAACGCGCATGCGTAAACGTATTATGCACATGCGTTAACGCATGCGTAAAATGTTTGTAGCTTTGAGGTCCGGATTAAAGACTTTTGACTGTATTTGTGATGTACTACAAATGAGTAATGATTTTCAGATGCATGAAAATTAATTCCTATTATAAAATTTGATGCCTTTTATAGCTATAATTAAAACGGTAGCTTTTTATAATATATCATTCACTTTCAGAAGTATTAGATTGAGATGGTTAAAACGAAATCTTTGCAAAGCATATGATTTTTAAGTTAAATGATTCAAGCAGATAAGGATTGATAAACTCTCGTAAAAAATTATTATTTTTAAATTTCAATTTTTCAAAGAAATTAATATATAATATGTCACCATCGCATTTTCTTGAAATATTTAATTATTGAAAAATTCTGTGATTTTCTACTAATTAATTTTTTAATTAAGAATTTTAAAATTTGGAGAGTATTATTTTATTTATAATGCGTACAGATGGTTTTAAAAGTTTATTTGAAGGTAAAAAATTTAATAATATAGAAATTCTGTCTTAATAGTTTTATGAGGATTTCCCCCCTTTTATAATTTTTTAAAATTTCATTTCTAGTGTACTTGAGAAAGTACGAACACCCAGAGAGCCAGAATTCTTCAAGAAATCCTACAAATGGAATCAAATACCATCTGAATTTATTCTTGAATCATGTGAAGAAAATTATGACTGTCCACAGGTACTACCACTTCTACGGCCACCTGGTTTGATTGATTTTGTTGAGAGGAAAACTGAACTACAAGAACATCTGAAGGGGCTTTACCATTTGGTAGAGAAAAACAAACAAAATATGTAAGATTTGTTTTATTATTATTATTTTGTGGGGAGGTGTATTAAATATGAAGGTAGCAATTGAACATTTTCTGCAAAATTCGTATCACACACAGTGGCCAATGAATTAGAAACCTAAGATCCGTATTAGACCACCTTTTGCATGGATTCATTTGGACATTGAGTCTACGTGCTTCTGGAGTGCATTTACGTCCAGAGAATGCCATGCATTGGCTGTGCAGCATTTTAGATTTTGTAAAGTAGATGGAAGAGGAAAGCACTGTTGCATGTGTCTTTCCACCATATTCCACACATTTTCTGTGGAGTTACGAGCAAACTACACGGTGGCCAGGAAAGGTGTTAGAGTCAAACTAATGTTCAGCAAACCAATTTTGAACACTTCTGGCACGATGTATAATTGCATTATTGTCAATGAAGTATACGTCACTATAAACGTAAAAATCAGCATTTCAGGGTGCACCTGATCTGCCAGTATATCAAAATATCTCATGACTGTTTGCTTATCCTCGAGGAATACCAGAGCACCACTTCCATGCCCCATATCATGATACTCCCGCCAGACCCTTGCATAGTGCAAATAAGGCAAGATGGATTCATGGCGTCATGAGTTTCTCACCAAATTAGATGTCTTCCATTTGTGCAAAATAAGGTGTAGCATGATTCATCCAACCACATTACCCATTTAATAATAAATATCTGCTAGATATACAGGTATACAGGTTATTCAAAATAATTTTAACTTTACCTGAAGATTTTCTTTCACAAGCGATATGCAGAGCTGTTTTTCTACGTCTGCCTGTCCTGGTAACATCAGCTCCTTTTTCTAGAAGCAATCTAATTAACTCATAATCTGAATTATTGACTGCTAGAAGAAGAGGAATAAATATCATTGTAAGTTAAATTTCAGTTATAAGAGTATGAGAAGTTTTCAGAAAATAAAAATTGTCTAAAGAGATTTCTTCTAGGAAGTATGTGAATAGAAATTCGTGTATGATTTATTAAAAAGATTTTAAAGAAGTTCCTGTCAAAGTGCAATGTTTAACAATTATTAAAATCTCTCTATAAATATTGTGTACAAATATTTTATTAAAAAAGACTATTTTGGGATTTTGTTTTGTTTATTATAAAGTTAAACGTAAATGAAAATCTAGATAATTTTTTGACAATGTGATGCATCATAGAAAAAACACAACCCCACTGCACAATTTATAACAAGTTTAATTTAACCACATTTTCTAGGAAATAACTAGTTTTCTAGAACTTGAGATTTTTACACACATTTTTATGCTCAGCTCTTTGTTAGTGTTGAATGGTAAGGACTCCTCCAAAAGTTATAGAATGTACTTTTGTACAGTTTTTTCTAGCTTTTTCTTTCTCTATATGTAATTTTGCAATTCATTTTGGTTTGATTTTAAGTTTACTTTAATTTTTTGCTTATAACTGATATCGACGAACGTTTCAGGGAACTTCTGTGACAGTATGGGTCTATGAGTAGTGTTATATAGAACTCGCAAACAATTAATTAACAGTGTATGAGTCGCATATTGTCGGAAAGAATTAAATGTGTATTCGGGACCATTTAATCATCCACTAGCACCTTGAAAAGTTCTGTTTGAAACATTGTTCACATTGTGAAACAGTTTTATTTTGTACTTTATTTGTTATTCCAGTTCTTACATTTTTATTATTTTAATTAATTAATAGATTTTTATGTAGAATGCTCAAAGAGTAAATAAAACTCAGTTAAGCTAAAAGAGTAGTTAGCTTCATAAGTAAAATTACAGATTTACTAATAGCTACTTCTAATTTAACATGTTTGCAACCAAGCTGGAAGCTCACTCCTAAAATAAAGCTAGTACATACAGTGAAAGAATTATTTTTCTTCAGAAGCATGATGGACAAGGAAATGCATTTCTTAAGTAAAAGTATGTCAGTGCCTGAAAAGAATAATTATTTGGGGGAAAAAAAATCTACTTGTAGCTATAACAGTTCTATCATGCATATCTGCTTTAGAATTTTAAAATTTTTGCAAGAAAATTTGATGCTGAAGCATTTTTATTTTCAGCATCTCTTTGATGGAAATTTTTTTCAAATGAATTATCTAGCTTTAAAATAAATTGAATTTTTAATTTTTTAGCATAAAATAAGCTGCCTTATTTAGTACACCAACATTTATTATCAAAATGCCTCATCTTGGGATTTAAAGAGGCACTGGTTTGATCTGGTTGTCTGCTGTAGCAAAATTTTTAAAATAGAAATGTTGTAGCCTTACAAATTCATTGGCAGTTTTACATAAGAATAGTGTGAAAGTGTTAATCAGGTGTTCCACTTCATATTTCAAATGGCAGTATCATAAAAAATTCATGATCATGGAAAATATACTAAATTATTTCATTATATCAGTTTCATTTTCTTATATTTCTAAAAATAATAGTTTGAAGAAACATAACATATTATGGGATATGTTAAATTGTCTGATTGAAAATACATTAGAAAACAATTAATTATTGACAATGAATTTCACTAGCTTTAATTTCATTTAAAATTTTTATTTATTGATTATATATGTATTCTTTAATATATGTGTTACAGAACAAGGGAATATAAGGAAATTGAGTGCAAACTGTGTTCTGAAACTGTGACGTCTGTTAGAGATCTGCTTGTGCATTTGGATTCATATATGCATCAAACCAAAGAAAAGGAACTAGATGCACATAATTGAACATCACTGGATTTCTGTGATTTTAATTGTATCATATTATACATTCTGTAAAATAAAATCTTGTTTTTTTGTATATATTTTTATTCTTATATATTAACTTTATCCTGTAGGATTATACACAATTTTTAGTTTCAGAATTTCATATTTTGTTCTGCAGTAGTCAGTAATTTCAGAAGCACTTACTTCCAGTTTTAAAAAGAGTTTAAATGGTAAAGCTTCTTGAATTTATATGGTTTATGTGGAAAATTAGAGAATTAATTTGCTTTAAAATGCATATATTGAAATATGCTACAGTTTTTGACTGGTGCTTAAAATTTTTGACTCGGTTGAACGCTTGTGAAACATTTTAAGTCATGTAGTTTTAAACAAAATGTCTTGAAAGTGATGGCCACCATTCTATATGCACTGATGTAATCGGTTTCTGAACCTCTCCTCTACATATTTCAACATATCCACTGAATTCATGCTGTTTCCTGCCAAGTAACAAAACTTTTAAATTATGTTCTTAGCAAAGGGGGGGGAATTGTCTATCAACAATATATTTTCTATTATTTACCTTTAAAAAGGATTTTTGTGCCCATCCTCTCTCTCTTTTTATATATATATTATATATAAATATATATAAAATACACACAGCATGTCCACAAAAGATTTTATCCAGCCTTTATTTTTCAGCATTAGATCATACTTCCAGTTACAAAAATGTTTTAAATGATGCAGATATTCATGTTTTGTATTTTTAAATTTAAAGAAATCAGTTTTATAAAAATTATGAAATTTAACTTTTTATGTAGCCTTTCTAGTCTTTTTTTCTTCATAAAAAATAAAAACAGAAAGTTTGACTCCTATATGATAAAAAGTGGTCAAGATATTTAACTTTAAATTCCAAGGAATCTGATGTCATATTCAGCTTGCCTTGAAAGGATCAATTAATAACTAAATTGGAATAATTCAAGGTTGATTTTGCTCCCCTTAAATGCCATTCAGTGATATTCTTCTTACTAGTATGTAACATTCTTTAATTTATAATTTTGTCCCATATAAAGTATTGCAATGTTAGTATCATGTAGTCTTACAAGATCATAGTTATGTCAACACCATACTAAATGTAGATGTAAAAAAATATTCAGTCACAAAGATGAACAAAATTGACCTCAATTATGTCACTGCTGTGTGTGGAAAAATTTCATGATCCTATAAATGTTCAAAATATAACTCATGTTTTTTATCTGCTACATATAAACTGTAGCATATTTTTTAATATTTGTTACTAAGAAAGAAAGGGAGAGAAGAAAATAAGTTTATTGATCATTTATATACATAAATATGGCCAACATGAAACTTGGCCAAATTAAGATATAACCATGTCAGAAGAAATGCACTTGCTTGAGCTTTTTCACGAGTTTACTCATTAATGAGTGATCAATTCCACAGAATGCAGTTATAACAGTTTCTGTGTATTATTTTAAATTGATAATAAATTAACAATATTTATAAACAAAACAAAATTCATTTCTAATATAATTTATTAACCTGGGTTCTGTTACTGAATTAAAAAATTTAATTCATATTTCACAGTTTTTTCCTTCTATTGCATATGTGCAAAAGCAATACAAAGTCCTTAATTTTCAGTTTCTTTGAACACTTTGTCATTAACAAAACTTTTTATTTCAGAATCTTTTAAAGTAAAAATATGTATCTAAGTTGATTTTATATTTTATTCCCTGCCCCATCTTTCATCATAAATGCTTTCGAAAACCGATATCTCAAAATGTTTTGTCTTGAGACAGAAAAAGTACTGATGAGGAAAATATTTTTCATTTTTGAGGAAAGATAGTGCTCTTCTCCATATGGTTTAGATTCCATTAAATTAAAATTCAATCAATTACAGTGGGAGATTCTTAAGGCACTTTCTGTACAAAATTGATAAGCATAAAAATTATTTTCGAGACTTTTCTCTTCTGTTACTGGGACTGCTGAATGATGAATTTTGACCTTGACTTGTACCTTGAGTTCCTTGAATCAGCTGCTGCTGTAAAAAAAAAGTAAAAAAGCTAGTAGTTCATTTTCATTTCACATAATATTTATAAAACAAGAGCACTTTTCTTTGGTAATAAATAATTTAATTTTTTAGTTCAATTTCTATAATTTTGAATAATTAAAAATTTAATTTTATCTTTTGAAACATGAAAATTAGCTCTATGGAGGATGTTTCCAAAGTTCTAGGAATTAAGGTATATAGTGTTACGAATTTGGTATTTAAATAGCTAATGTTGGTTCAATTGTAAATTAAATGGTTTTGTTTCCCGCACAGTGCGGCGCGTGACGAGTGTTGGAAGAAAGCTGGGCCGGAGGGTTGAAGGTGCAAGAGCGTGTGCATTAAACATTTGATGAATATCTCTTTTTGATTTCGGGAAGTGCTGGAGGGTTCTCGCGTGTGATTTTTTGAGATCTTATAAAGGGAGGAGGGCCTCTCAGTTCGTGGTAGTTACTTAGTTTGTTGTTTAGAAAACTGCTCTTGTTGACTGTATAAATAGCGAATTCACGGATTAGCTTTCTTTAGCTGTTTTGAATTAAGTTCTATTGAACGTTTGAGTAGTTAGAAGATAACTACTGTGATATATTGTGATACTGCATGATTATTTGAGGACATTTAATCATATTTGTTGTGATAATAATAAATTTTCTTCATTTTTCATCGGACTTGTGCATTCATTTCGTAACACGCAACCCGTACGCACGCAACTATTTTTGGTGTAAGGAGTGGGGTTTGAATGCCAATAACAAGAGCGATGGAAGAGCAATTAAGGCAGTTGATCTCAGCCTTTGCCTCGTTGAAAGAAGATATGAAATCTAATCAGGAAAAGATTGAAACGGGACAAGAATCCTTTAAGGAAGAGATGAAGGCCATTCAAACTGGTCAATTAACTTTTAAAGACGAAATAAAAGTTGTTAAGGAATCTGTTAAAGAAGAAATAAAAGCCGTACAAGTAAAGATTGAAGAAAGTCAGTGCGAAATGAAAAGAGAAATTGCCTGCATAATAGAAACCAAATTCGATGCTATGGAAGGCAGAATAGATGTGGTTGAAAATAAAGTTGGGCAAATTGAAGAAAAAGTTTCTTCCATAAAAGTTCAAATTGAAGAAAGAGTTTCTTCGGTGAAAGAAGAAATAGAAGAAAGAGTTTCTTCTGTAAAAGAAATATAGAAGAGCGAGTTTCTGCCATCGAGCAACAAATTGATGAGAGGGTTTCAGCCGTTGCGAAAGAAGTCGATACTTTAAAGAAATTCGTAGCGACAGCAGGGAGCAATTCGGATGGTTTTAAATTTTTACCAATGCTTGCTCATCCCTCTCTGAAGCTATCGACATATGATGGGAAGACCTCCTGGCAGGTGTATAAGACACAATTTTCTATCGTGGCGGATGCGAATGGATGGGATTCCCAAGCTAAGGCCTGTCATCTCGCCGCTTCTTCAAGATCCGACGCAGCAGATATCCTTCAGACTCTTCCCGATAACAAAAGGTTAGATTTCGAAGCTCTGTCCGGCGCCTTGGAGCTGCACTTTGGGGAGAAGTGTTTAAAAGACTACAGCAGGCTCCAATTAAAATCTCGTCAACAGAAGCCTACAGAAACACTTCAGGAGCTCGCCACGGATGTTGAAAGGCTGTCCCATCTCGCGTTTTCGGAATGCCCAACAGAAACAAGGGAAATCCTGTCCTTGCAATACTTTATCGACGGCATCCGGGATACTGAAATACAGAAAAGCTCTACAAATGGCGGATGTAAAAGATTAAAAAAGCGCTCTAGTGTACGCCATGAAATTCGAGGCAGTTCAGCAAGCAACTCGTAGAGACTGCCACCAAATCAGAGCTGCTCATGTCAGGAGTCAACGAATCAAGTGACTGTTCATCTAGACGATATAACCAGACACCTCAATGACTTAAGAAGAAATATCAGTGAAAAGAAACCGACCTTAAAATATTGGAACTGTGAGCTGAAGGACACGTACGTCGGAACTGCAGAACACCCCAGGGCACGGATGTTAAGACCGCTCCTAGCAAGCAGCAGGGAAACTAATTGGTGGCCATCTCGTGGGGCGGAGGTTGCCAGATAATGAAAAGCCCCAGCTCAAAGCGCTTCAGATTTCTGCAGTGAGAGGCGGCAGTAATAGGACATGTTAATGGAGTTCCCTGCAACATGACGATAGATACAGGAGCCAACGTTACCATCATCTAAAAAGATTTGGCTCAACAACTGGGAACAAACTTATCTGTACGCCGCCCTGCGTTACCCTCCAGACTGTGTGCGGTGAGAAGATCGATATCGACGGAAAAGTAAATGTTAACATCATGTTTGGAAGTGCCGCTTATCATCACATGGCATATGTAGCAGAGATCACTGATTCTTGCATACTCGGATTGGACTTTCTAAGGAAATACAGTTTTTCCTTAAACTTTAATTGCATTCTACGTCTGAGGACATAGCATTATTTGGAGTTAATGATGAAGAAGTTAAATCTGTCCATAAAATCATAGCACAAGACAATATCACAATAATGGCAAGAACAGAAATTTTACTTCCTGGATCCATAGCCGAAAACAGAAATTTCCGCTACGGCATCATAGAATATCCTAATAACTGTAATAGCCCACAAGGAGTACTAGTAGCCTCAACACTTGTCGACCCATCCAGAACGGTTATCCCTGTGAGAGTCGCCAATGTAACTGAGAAGGTGAGAATTATTAAGAAAGGTGAAGTGGTTGCAGCATGTACTCCGTCAACCATTGTTGAGAGAAAGAGTAACGTCCAAGAATCCGTGTCTTCAGAAAGAATTACATCAGAGTTACTTCAGAATGCGCAATTAAACGACGAAGAAAAGAATGCAGCCGATCGCATGATTAAAGATCTTCAAGTTGTTTTCTCCCGCTCGTCTTCTGACGTGGGTCGAACTAGTTTGACACAACATAGAATCGATACCAGCGATCATCCCCCGATCAAGCAACATCCAAGACGTCTACCGTTTGCTAAACAGGAAGAGGTACGAACACTTTTAAAGGATATGGAAGAAGGCGATGTGATCGAACCTTCAGCAAGTTCATGGGCAGTCAGAAAGAAAAACGGCTCAACGAGATTTTGCGTCGACTATCCCCGGTTGAATGAAGTTACAAAGAAAGACAGTTACTCTCTTCGTAGAATTGACGACATTTTAGACACTCTTTCTGGAAGCAAGTGGTTCTCAACACTTGATTTAAAGAGTGGGTATTGGCAGGTAGAAATACAGCCTGAAGACCGAGAAAAGACGGCATTTACTACGAGACAAGGGCTTTGGCAATTTAAGGTGATGCCGTTTGGACTATGTAATGCGCCGGCAACATTCGAACGTCTTATGGAGACAGTTTTGAAAGGCCTTTCCTACAAAGCCTGCCTGATATACCTGGACGACATCATCATCGTCGGAAAGAGTTTTGGAGAACATTTAGAAAATCTTAGGAAGGTGCTTCAGAAACTGAAAGAAGCCAATCTGAAGCCGAGTCCCGCTAAATGCAAATTGTTCCGAAAGGAAGTGTCTTACCTGGGATGTATCATCTCTGCAGAAGGTGTGTGCACGGATCCTGAAGAGGTATCAGCGGTTAAATCCTGGAAATGTCCCGAAAATGTCCACCAGCTGAGAAGCTTCCTAGGGCTTTGCACCTACTATAGGAGAGTCGTGAAGGACTTTTCTTCCATCGCAAGACCTCTTCACAAGCTGACAGAGAGCAAGCAAAAGTTCTTGTGGACAAAAGAATGCAAGGATGCATTTAACAACTTAAAGGAGGCTTTAACATCTGCTCCAATCCTGACGTATCCTCAGCTCGACCGACCATTCATTCTCGACACACACGCGAGCAATGAAAGTGTTGGTGCTGTTTTGTTCCAAGAAATAAACGGCCAAGAACGTGTAGTGGCATACTGGAGCGAATGCCTATCTAAACCGGAGAGGAATTACCAGGGTTGCCACTGAAACAGGAGAATGAAATTCCCTAGGTTTTCCAGGTATGTTTCGAGAAAATTCCAGTCTATCCGTGTAATGTACGTTGGCTGTGCTAAGAGGTTAATTATGGTATTACTTGTACTGTGTAGCAAATTCACTTAATTATTCAATAAATCTCAGAGGACATTTATTCTTAATTATTCTTGGTACACTTTGTTTGATAATTTTCTTTACTTTTCCACTTAAAAAACTTAATAAAATTTAAGATATATACATTGGATAACAACTGTACGTTTTATTTAATTATTACTCATGATCATCCCCAGTTCAACACGAGGCTAATCCGGTTCTTATAAATCACAACGCAATGCTAAAAGTTAGGTTAGATTTTAGGTAAATTTAATTTGCGTGAGGTGTATTCTTAAAAGGCACCTTAACACTTGAAAACACAAATATAATTATAATAGGAGCTGTTTTCTCCACTGAAGATTGAGATTAGAATCTGCCCAATCTGGAATAAAATAAGGCTTTTTTTGCAGACATTCTGCAGCTAAACGAAAGAAAGAAATCTATTTAATTGATATTTTTTTACTAAATTGAGGTATTTTATATTTATTTCGCAGCATACATAAGGAAAAAAATATGTGATTAAATTTTGTGATGTCATCATACTGCTAGAATTAATTTCAGGATTATGCCAGAGAAAATTTCCTGAAATTCGGAAATATTATTTACTAATGATAAATAAATTTAGAGGGAAGAAGAAGCAACATTAAATGATATGAATAACATAAAAATAAAGATAATTACTTAAAAATTTAATTAGAATAATCAACGATATTTTAGCTAAATATAGTTATATTACATGGTTATCCTAGATGATTGATTACTATTTTTTTATTTTACTGCAAAATGACAAGGTATTTATTTAAAAAGAAAAAAAGATTTTGCGGTAAAATCCTAGTATACGATTACAGGTGGCCTTCGCACGATTTTGAAAATTGTCGCCAAGACACCAAAAAGTGGACCCGATTACTGCTCATCATCAATGTCGCCAAATC